CCCCAAAACCCCAAAACCCCAAAACCCCAAAACCCCAAAACCCCGTGTGGAACCAGTGAGGTTGAATTGGACAATTAAGAAAGTGAGATAGGAATTTCCTCTTTAACTCTTGACTCTGGAAATAGCTACAACAATCCAGCCTTAGCTTATAAGGCCTTGCAATTGGTGGAAAGTAGCCTAGGGATTGGTAAAACTAGGGTTTGTTGGTTATAAAGGTTATCCTCAGGTACTTTTTAGATGAAGTTCTGACCATTTCTTGAGATAGGAAGAGGCAAGCACTGGTGGGGTAGAAGAGCATAGAGAGTATTATTTAAAGCGACTGGAGAACATGAGGAGATGAGAAAGAGACTGATGTTGAAATTTAGAGGAGAGAGTTAAAGTGTGGGTTTGGATTATTGTGGTTAACCGTACAACTGATGACTGGAAATTTTGTAATTTAAAAGTAACTTCCTGGCTTACTGGCTCTGAGCCAGAAGAGACCTAAAGAAGCTCCCACGAAGAGATTTAGACTAAATGGAGCCTTAATGAAGTCCTGAACTAGAGGTTTGGAAACTTATTAATTTTCATGAGAAGTAGTTATGAAAATTTACACTGAAACTGTACTGGAGAGAAGAGGGGTGGGAAGATGAGGGGTGTGGATTGTGGTGGTGAGGTGGTGAAGGGCTTTTGTGAGGGGTTATGGATTGTTGGGGATACCAAGAGCTGAGGTTTTAAAATTTGAAGAAGTTCTGAGATTGTAGAAATATTAAAGAGGTTTTGTGGTATTTCCAAGAATTTTAATTGTTATTCGGATAATTGGATTTTTGCCAGAAACTTTGTTATTCAATTCTGATCTCAGCGGCTTTTGCTCCCTTAACTATAGAAAGTAAATAGAGGTAAATTTGAACACTAGGGACTATTTCCTAATATTTCAGATGATTTTATGTGCTTGGGGAGATAGCCGGTAGCATTTAACCAGCAAAAGTTATGATTGGTAAACTCTACTCTACAACCAAAGTAAAATGCTGTTGAAGTGACTTGTTCTTAAGAAGACCTGATGATTTTAAGTATAGATGCTAGTCCTTCTTCTTGATACGGCTTCGCTTACATTTTGGAGGGAATGAGAAATTTTTGGATTAGTAAGATGAATTTTTGAATTTTTCTTAACAAAAGATAAGAAGAAGCTGAAATTGACAGAAATGACCTTGTGCTGTCTTTGTTAGTGCCTCTTGTAAATAGAAATTAGCATAAATGCATATTCTAAGCCTATACGCATCTTTTACTCCATGGTTAAGTCCACTCTTCTTCCATGCCCTAACACTTTTCTGACAGGCTTTGAGATGTTGTGGAATGCATATATAAAACTTGGAAATTTTTTAATAATAAATAATTTTAAACAGTAAGTAAATCAATTCGAAGAATTTGAGTTAGAGATTTCCTCAACTACTTTTAGCGAACATGCCCTAATCTTTCTTTGTAGATGTTCTTAAACAATCAAAACTACGACGCTGATGAATTCACAGGGATTTTCAGCGAGCAACTCGTTGACCCTTTTCAAGAGCAAATTATTGCAAGGTAAGAATTTATTTTCGACAACAAATCTAAAATTTTCTTTAGATCACCTATATCTTACGAAGAGGAAGACAAGAACTCCTTGTTGGTTGAAGACCACTATGAGCTGACTTATGATGAAATGAAGCAAATAAATTCATTTATGGGCTGCTATCAGGATAATGCCTTTGTTAAGAGTGATAGTGCAAAGCAGAAACTTGGATATTTCTTAGACGATAATGCACCTGAAATTCCATATGACTTGCTGTCTAACCTTCCACTTCCAAACACCGAAGATAATACTTTCGGGGTTGATGCAACTGCACAAGCTGCTAGGCATTGTAATTCATCAGTGCAGAACCCAGCAACCCACACTAACCAGAGAAACAAGTGCTCTGCTCCAAAATATGGTGATAGAAGAGATGTTATTTATAAGAATCTCCTCAGAGCAGTCAGGACTATTCTTTGTGAACAATTCAGAGAGTTATCTACTGGAGCTCACTTTTCCAGAAAAACCACCGGCTGTGTGGTGTTTAAGATGAAAATTGAACAATTCTTGGAAAAAGATAAAAAATTCAAACAATTTGTTCCTGAGGTATTTGGAGAAGGGCCAAACGGTATGCAGTACTTTACAGAAGTATTATCTATCTTTTTGGAAGAATCTTGGTATTATCCTAACAAAAGGAAGGAGATGAAAGAAGCTACTAAGATTCTTAAGAAATGAACTAAATCATTTACGATTGGCTGCTATACAAAGTTATTCAAATTTAGAGGGATCCAATTATTCTTCAACCTCCTCTTGAAATCAGGTTTCATTCAAGAAATCATTAACCAAAGAGATAATATGCAGAAATGTCCTGACAGATATATTGAAGGGGTCGAGTCTATTATAAACTTCTCGCATCACCCATTTCTGATGAAATAACTCATTATTACTACCTAATTTAATCGTGCATTTTAATAAACTTTCAATATAAAGAAGTACCCTTGGGGTTTTGGGGTTTTGGGGTTTTGGGGTTTTGGGGTTTTGGGG